ACATTTGTTAGGCATGCAGATTATTTGTCCCTCTTTTAAATTGGAGCGAGCGTGGAGCGATTTGACTGGAGCGGGAGGAAATTTTAGTGGAGCGAGAAACGGTGTTGAGCGGAGCGACTTAGTGCGAATTAGAGCTGAGGATCGGGCGGAGCCAACAGCCTCGTGAGCGAGGAGCGGAAATTCTCACCGCTCCACTGCGCTCACATGCTCTGGAAGAGACCCAAGCTTAAATTGTGATCTGGCAGGAAGGACAGATAATACAGGATCAGAATAGCATGACAAAAAATGATGTATTTTTTACAATATACTAGAGTAGTACGGTACTGGAAAATTTTTGTGATTTTGTTTTAAAAAATATTGGGATCTTTATAAAGCAAAAAATGTTCCTCACAAACCCATCTAGGAGTGATTAAAATGATTATGATTGTCTCGGAGAACATATGCATCGCTCACACAAAAGCAGCAGCGGTAAACTTTAAACTGATTTTTTATTCATACTAGAATATCTTGAAAATGAATAATCATTTAAATTGCAAAACTTGCTAAGGCCTTTTCCCCTTTTTTCACTTTGAAGTACCGTATTTTTGGTGCTGTCTTGAAGTACCAAAGGTTCGGTACCTGGTCTGGTGGAAAAGCGCACTCAGATGGCGCATGGGGGGGAGCCCTGCCCAACAACATCTCTCTGTGTGGAGCTGTGAGCTGGGAATGATGATCGTTTAGACGAGACCCACAGCCCAGTGTAAGACAGAGTCTCTCATCATGCTCTCACAGAAATGTTCAGTCAATCAATCAAGTACAAGGAGACATCCTAACTCACTTCAGGATCTCAAATATGCATCATCAGGTAAAACTCGAGCGAGCTTCAGCAAACGTACCTGGGCTTTACTGTCCAGCGGTGCTGTGTCCTTTTGCAGCAATTGGTTGCCCAAGCTGCTGATCTCCTTTTTGATGCCGATCATGATGTCCGAGTAGTTCTCATAGCGCCTCATCTGGCCCATGAGGGCGACCATGTTCTCCCTGACAAAGTCATTCTCCCGGGTCAGGTTAATTCTGATGGTCTGAGGGACACAGAAGGTGCAAAGGTCAGAGTGATGGTGTCTGGCTGGACAGAGAAGACATAGACCATTTACAGCCTCCTCTGGCTCTACTTTGAGAATTATCAAAACCACTCTCAGCCTGCAATGAGAAGGTATTTGTATAAGGCCAATCTCATCATAAATTATTAAAGTAGAGGCAACCGGACCACAGGGCACTCTCCCTGTTCTGGAAGAGGCACAGTGTAAGCTGAATCAGTTCTGTTCTGGAAGAGGCACAGTGTAAGCTGAATCAGTTCCTAACTTGTATTCTGGTCTTCCCAGTGACTGTTTTACTTTTTCTTTCACTTTCTATTTTACTTTGTCTCTTACCAAATGCTCACTATAAAATAATCCAGGGCATGCTTCCCACTCACCTCCTCCAGGTTGTTCATCTGGGAGACGACCTTGTTGATGTACGAGTGAACCGTCATGAGGTCCAAGCTGTAGAGTGTCCCCTCCAGGAGGTCCACCATGGACTGGAGCTGCAGGGATAAGGGTGGCTTTTTGGGACTATGCGTGGCCTTGCAAGGCATGTGGATGCTCATGGGCACCAAAGAAATGTTCATCAACTGCATGAGAGGCATTGTGTGGAGGAGCACCGGTGGGGACGACTGTGCGACTTGAACAAACTATATATCTCTAGTAGTAATTCCATTACTGCTTCACATGTTCAGCTGTTCTGAGGACTCCGGTAATACGATGTATTGGTTTCAGTATGATCAGGTACAGATACTAATTGGCCATTTGTTTGCCCTGGAGATTTAGGTAAAGTGTGTTGCTGGATTTGTAGGTAGATTTTCAGTTTAGTTCAATTCAGTCCGGTTCAGTTCTATATGGTACTTTTCACAACACAGTTGCCCCAAGGCACTTGAAAAGAATGTGTAGCAATCCATTATTGTGTTATTTGTACAAAATGGTGCAAGAATCACTGCAGTAAGGCAGAGAGGAGGGGGCTTCAGTATATCATCAACACAGCTCAAAAGATTGTCGGCTGCTCTCTGCTCTCCCTACAAGACTTGTACACCTGTCACTGCCTTGGCAGGGCAAAAACAATTTGAATGACCCCACACGTCCTGGTTTTAACCTGTTTGACCTGTTGTTCTCTGGTATGCGCTACAGCTCCATCAAATCAAGGACGAACTTATTCGGCAAGAGCGTCTTTCCCAGAGCCATAACAACACTGAACCACAACATGTACTGGCCATCTCTCTGTGTCTCTGTCTCTCTTTCTCTCTCCCCCCCATACCTCTTCTCGGGATGTGCGATAATTCTCTCTGTGTAATAATTACAGCCAAGTGCAATATTTTACACTATTAGTAATACTCTCAGCAATTTTCATATTATTGGTAATTCATTGTGTAATACTTGCATCATCAGTAATACTCCTCTGCCTAGCAATACCGCATTTGTTACTTAGCAATACCATTGTTACTTTATTAACTGCATTACCTTGTCTTGTTAAACATTATTACTTTCTATATACTTTTTATTAAGCAGTTTTTATATGTAGTATTTTTTACATTTTCTGTGTAAATAATTGTTTCTGTTCATTGCATCTGAATGGTATAATGTATAAAAGACTTCTAATTCCAAGACATTGGAGGAGAGGTATATGAATGGAAACATGATTATAATAATAAATAAAAGACATGGAAGCTGAAATTGGACTAGCTTGCTCACACTGCTGAAATACTCAAATAAAACAGTAAGGGACCCTGTTTATTGTGATACGGGCTCTGCACTGCCCCTCTGCCCACGGCCTCCACA